CTTATATAATCATAGTATTATATTTTTAAAGATTTTTTAATGTGGACCATTTCTAAAGTCTTTATTGAATTTGTTACAGTGTTGCTTCTGTTTTATGTTTTGGTTTTTTGACCCCAAGGCATGTGGAATCCTAGCTCCCTGATCAGGGATTGAACCTGTACCCCCTGCAGTGGAAATGCAGGGTCTTAACAACCGGACCTCCAGGAAAGGCCCAATAATAGTATTATACTAATAACTATAACATTAATTATATTAATACAATATGGCTAATAAGTAATATTATATATGTAATAATATACCACCTTGTGTATAATAATATATTATATGTAATAATATTATAGATTATATGTAGTATATAATAATGCTGTATGTTAATATATAATTAATAATATATTAATATAATATGGTTATTACTATAACTATAATACTATATTATTAATATAATAACTATATATTAATATATAGTAACTCTTTGCAACACTATGGACTGTAGCCTTCCAGGCTCCTCTGTCCATGGGATTCTCCAGGCAAGAATCTTGGAGTGGGCTGCCATTTCCTTCTCCAATATAATAACGAGTTTTACAATAGTAAGTGCTATGCTGTCCTTAGTCGCTCAGTCACGTCCAACTCTTTGGGATCCCTTGGACTGCAGCCCGCAGACTCCTCTGTCCATGGGAATTCTCAGGCAAGAATACTGGAGTGGGTTGCCATGCCCTCCTCCAGGGGATCTTTCCAACCCAGAGATTGAACAGACAGAGAAAGACTAATATCATATGATATCACTTATATGTGGAGGCTAAAAAAAATGATACAAATGAGCTTATTTATAAAACAGAATTGCAGACATAGAAAACAAACTTATGGCTATCAAGGGGAAAAGTGGGGGAGGGATAAGTTAGGAGTTTGGGATTAACAGATACACAACTACTATATATAAAATAGACCTGCTGCATAGCATAGGGAAGTATATTCAATATCTTGTTAGAACTTATAAAATAAAAGAATCTGAAAAAGAATATACAAATATATATAATATGGAATCTCTTTGCCGTACACCTGAAAGGAACACAACATTGTAAATCAACTATATGCCAGTTTTTAAAAAAAAAAAATAAGTGACTAAATAAAAATAAAGCCTGAGAAGGGAGGTCACATGAGCTGCCGGGCTCCACACCAGGAGAAGGCCATTGGACAAGATGGGAAGCTGAGGCAGAAACCTGACGGGGTTGAGTCCACAGTGAGAGTAGGACCCTGGTGGGGGCAGCACACGCTCTGCTTGGATCAGAGCTGCCAGATGCTGGGGGCTGCGGAGGCCACAGGTGTGAGCGCCTGGAGGGACAGACCAGGTCGCATTCACCCCCTTCTCACCAAACAATGCAATTTCTGCCTCCTGGCAGTCTCAATAAGTGTGTGCTGAATAAATGAAGCATCTTGAGGAGCTTCTTGCCTATGCAATATAATGCCCCGGAGGTTATAGAAAATGATCCTTTGCCTTTCGCCTCTCTGGACTGGAAAGTCACAAGTGAAGGAACTGGTAAGGACATTCTTCAAACAAGAACCTCCCTCCATGGTCTGCCCGTCGCATCCCCAGGGGCTTCTCAGCCTGAAAGGGAGGCCCCTGGGCCTGTCCCTCCAGTCCATCCCTTCACCTCCTCTCCATCTTCAGCGCTGTAACCTTCATCTCCTCTAGAAGTGACACCCAGCTTAGGTTCTACTTGAGAAAGCATCTCATTAATTTGAAAGAGAAAATCATTCTTAGTGGCTTGAATTTAATGCTCAAAAATTAAAATTTTGCTGAGGACTTCCCTGGCAGTCCATTGGTTAAGACTCCGCGTGTCCACTGCAGGGGTTACAAGTTCGATCCCTGGTCAGGGGAACTAAGATTCCACATGCCAGCCGGTAGAGCCAGAATAAACATGATGAAAAGGCAAACTGTCAGAGTGCACCCTCCCCCTAAATAATTTGCAAACCATGTCTTTTGGGGCAGCCTGTTGAGACTATCCTGGGTACCAATCTCCCTCCAGAAACATTCTTTCTGTGGAAAAGTTGAGGGGATTCAAACAGACAACATAAGAGAGCCGAAAGCTCTCTCTGAAGCCTGCTGGAGTAGATCAGGGGACCCCAGTCCACTGGAGGCTCGCTCCTGTTCCCTTCCTTTCAGGCTCCCTTCTGTCGGCCCTGCCCCAACTCCTGGCTCTGAGGCAGCCTCCAAGGAGAAGTAGTGACGGCTCAGTGTCCACCTCCACACCTGCGTCCCGGGACCTTCCCCTCCCAGCCCTGCCAGCCCCGGTCTCCATGGTGACAGCCCTTCCTCTCCCTGGGGGACCGCCATCCCTGCCATCCTCAGGCTTCTCACCCTTGCCCCGGCCCACACCTCCCCCTGGGATGCCCCCTGTGCCCCAAATTTCTGGGTCCCCTCGCTGATACCAAGCGGAAGCAAGGGGGTGCTCCCACCAGAGGCCTCCCCGTTCACGGGCGTTCCTGGGGCTCAGGCTCTGCTACGGAGGGCTTGTTCACCTCAACCCCCACCCCCACCCCTGGCTCCCAGCTGACAACCTGCTAATTCTCTCTGATCACACAATCTCTGGCAGCTGTGGTGGCTGTCTTGACACTGTCCTTCTTGCAAGAAAGGTTTTGAGATAAAAGAATGCACTGTGAAATCGTCATCAGAGCCTTGGAGAAGGGGCCTGGGAGAGGACTGGTCTGCTGCCCACGCAGCCTCTCCATCATCCCAGCTCCTCCCTCTCCCCCCCCACCTCCCTGCCTTCTTCCCTTGTCTCTCTCTTCCTCTCCACTCTTTCTCTCCTGCTCATCCCATCCCCTCACCCTCTGGTTCCTTCTGCACTCTCTCCCTCCCTGTCTCCTCTCATCTCTTCCCTCCTTCTCTCTCTCTTGTTTGGTGCCAGAAGCAGTCTAATTACAACAGAGAACTTGAAGAGACAGAAAAAGAAAAAAAAAAAAATCACCCCACCACACAGAGCTGATGAAAATGTCCTATGAAATCTAATTTGTAAAGCTCAAATCAGAATAAAAAGTGTTACTCCCACAATTCAGGGCCAATTTGATTTTTAATGAGATTCCTCAGAGACCCAGCCAAGATCTCATCAAGTTGAAAACCTACTACCTTCCCGCCTTCCACACACTCTCTGCGCCGCGTAGACCTCTGTCTCTGCCCGGCTGCCATCCCCAGTGCTGCTCGGGGACATTCCCCAGCGGCTCCCTGCTCAGGGCCGTCTCTTGCTGACAGCTGGGCCCCAGTTTGGAGCCCCGTGTCCCCAGCTGGGCAGCAGCCAATATCCGAGACCTCTGTGTCCACCCCGACTCTCCCAGTGGAGAACAGCCTGCCCACTAGGCCCTGTTTTCCTCAGCTGTGTATCTGTGTCTGCAGAGTAAGGCGTGGGGAAAAAATACAAGCTTAGAAGTCAAAAACCTCAGATCAAACCCCATTCGTTAGCTGTGTGACCTTGGGCAGGTCACTTTGCCTCTCTGATCTGGGTTTCTTTGGTGTAAAATGGGAGCGGTTCTGCTCTGAATGGCAATCACTAGGTTACAGGAGAGACTGCACGCGAAGCACAGATGGCGCTGTGGGCCGGGAGCTCGGTGGACGTCAAGGTCCCATGTCCCGTTGTCCGTTCATCTGTGGCTTCCCAGGACACGTAGCTCACAAGACATCCCCTTCTTTAGCAGTCCCTCCAGGTCCAGGCATAGCGATCCGCTCGCTGTAGATGAGAACACGGTCCTTAGTGCCAGAGAGTCTTTGATTCACAGCCCAAGGTCCTGCCGCTAGAGACTCCCTGGACAGGCTAGTATCCTCCAAGCCTCCGGGTGCTGAGTCCCTGTGACACGGGTTGATCAGGCTCCACACGGGCGCTGTGGGCGCGTGACAGCCACGGGAAGGTACACAGGGCCCTTGTGAGTAACTAACACGCGAGGCTTCTGTTCATAGTTATCCCTCCCTTGGGCCTCATGTCCTCGTCTGGAAAATGGGGATAAAAACAGCACCAACCTCATAGGTTGTTATGAAGATGAGCATATTAACAAGCTGATAGTTTTAAATCTCAGAACAATGCCTGGCGTATTGTACCTACTGTGGGTGTGTCTGTTCGCCTTAGTCATGAACTGGCCAAGGTAGATGGTTCGGGGAGCGGTGTGTGGGGAGAGGTGGGGTCACACTGATGCTCTGCTTCTGAGTAACAGTGAGGCTGGAGTAGGGTCTGCTGCAGAAAAGACAGGGACAGGAGGACGGGTGGAGACAATGACCTGCTCCCTCAGCCACATCATCTGCCACACTCCACCTGGACCCACCGTGTGCCCCTGGACTCCACCTGGGCCTGCTGCATGCCCTTGGATTCCACGTGGGCCCACAGTGTAACCTTGAGCTACACCTGAGCCCACTGTGTGACCTCAGGCACGTCACTCCTTTGCTAGGAGCCTCAGTTCATCTGTAAACTGTGGGTAATAACAGCTAACTAGCATTGCAGTTAATCCTCCATGAATAGCTCCGTTCTTTTTGTCCTGTAGGGCCTGACACCTTGGGGTGCTGGTCCTAGTCCCATCCTGGAAGCCACTAAAAGGATGATATTATTCCTTGGGTTTCCAGGTTTAATCATAGCTCTCCACCCTCCTCCATGCCCACGGCCCTCTTGAAGCACACTCCCAGAGTGCTTCCGACTGGAGGTCTGTTTCCTGTCTCTGCCCCCATGTGGAAGTACGTGCCAGGGAGTGTCGTCAGGTGGAAAGGGGAATAGGGTGTCCTGTGGCCCGTTTGGGGCTGGAGGATGGCAAAACCACAGCATGGGTGCCTGGGGGTTGATGGGCAGGGAGCCTGCAGCTGTGGCCAGCTCCTGTGAGCAGGTGATGGAGCTGGGGGCAGTGAGGAAGCCACTGCGGAGGCTCTCTGGGGGGCTCTTGTCTCCTGGACCAGCCTGGTCTCTGCTTGCATAGATCAAGCAGAAGCCCTTCCAGCAAGTAACTGACCGCCATCCTTGTTTCCTTCCCAGGTCAAGTGTACTCCTTCAGCCAGCAGCCCCAGGATCAGGCCGTGGTGTCGGGGCAGCCGGTGACACTGCTGTGCGCCATCCCTGAATACGACGGCTTCGTTCTGTGGATCAAGGATGGCTTGGCTCTGGGCGTGGGCAGGGACCTCTCAAGTGAGTACCCCCAGGCCTCCCTAGGAAGGCCTGGAACCCACCCCTGCCCTACCTACCCACCCACCCTCCTAGGGAACCCCATTTTCATAGGCATTTGGGGGATTAAGTCCCAGCTTTCATTGTAGATTCCATGAGCAGAGTCAGGCAAGGCAGGCCCCGGTCCAGGATGCACAGGACTCTGAGGGCCCCTCTGACTTTCTGTGGTGAATTACAAGTAAACCCTCCATTCTGGCTGTCAGTCCTAATCCTAACACAGTGTTGGCTTGGAGGGTCCATTCCAAAGTCAAACACATCTCATGTAAAGTCAGATTTCCAGAAGTAAAGCCTTCGTCTTTCTTGATCCCAAATGTATTCCCCACTTAAGACACAACCTGGTTCTTCCCTTCTTCCATCCATTGTTGTTTGTTGCTATGTTTTTAATTGCTAAGTCATGTCCGACTCCTTTGCCGTACCCATAGCCTATAGCCTACCAGGCTCCTCTGTCCATGGGATTATCCAGGCAAGAATACTGGAGTGGGTTGCCATTTCCTTCCCCAGGGGATCTTCCCAACACAGAGATCGCACCCAGATTCTTTTACACTGAGTCACTTTGGAAGCCCCCCTTCTATCCATTAAAGGGAACCAAGTAGATTGAAAATGCAAAGAAAGCTGGTAGAGCTTAGAGGTTACCATGCGATGAGGAGAAAAGAAAACAAGTGTTTGAAATAAATTCCAGGCCTTGTTCAGCCCACCCAGGCTGGTATTCAGCAAAGATGCACTAGTGGGCTCTGGTGCCTGTTGATGACTGGTGTCTGAGCTGCCTGGTTGGCACCCACACCCCGTCACCTGTTAAGTATTATAAATGTCAACCCTTAAGCCCATACAGATGTCTTTCCAATCCATCCTCTCCCCTGGGAGGAAAAAGACTGAAATCATCTTGGTCACTCACCCATCAGTCATTGCAATTCTCCCCTGGCGATGGTCAGCATGTGGCTGTTTACTAAGCTTAGCATGAACTGTAAAATGCAGAACAAGGGATGTGGGTGTCCTGCCATCAAGGAATGTTTGGGGGTGGAGGAGAGAAAAATATGTATTCAACTGAGAAGTAGCTTTGCCTCTCTCCTGGTGTACAGCTGCAAGAAAATAAAAATCGAAGTGCACTTGGGAACAGGATGGTTGGGAAATTAATATTTTAAAATGTGAGTTATGTCTTGCCAAAAATGTATATTGAAACATTATAGCAATGGTCAATAGCATCCTGGGGTTTGAGTGCTACAGCCCAGCTGAGCATGGATAAAATACACAATCACATCTCCAAAATATACTGTGCTGCCATAAAATTTAAGTATTATGGGAACCAGCCAATTTCAGGGACTCTGAACTCCCTTACCCGAGAGGGACTGGGGAAATGACACGATCTTCCCGAACCAGAATGGTTCACACTTCACGTGGCTCTGAGCGGGCTCAGCACTGCTGCTGGGTAGGAAGGCTCTCTGGGTTCCTGGTCAGTGGTTTTCAGCTTCAGTCAGGGACTGGGTTCTTGTTGGGTCAGTGGCCAAGAGGAGGCCCCAGGTCACTGTGGATGGTTCCTAGAGTGATCATCGCCAGACAGGTAATTGACCCTCTGGCATCCACTTCCACAAATGACTTTCTGGGACCTGACACTGGGTCTTGCTAAGTGTTAGAGGGCAGCACACTCTGATGGACTGGGGTCTGCTTCCTCCCCAACCTGACTCCATTAATAGAAAGAAGTCTGGCCCTCTCCTTAAAGAACCAGTGAACTCAGACTCTTAGTAAAATATTTTCTCTGGATTTGATCACTTGTCCCAAAATAGCATCATGACAGTGATGACAACTATATGCTTAATAAACATTGTTTGCTTGCCTGATAAGAAAGTGAGTGTAACAGTGCGGCAAGTATTTGCCAAGCACTAAATATTATGAGGCCCAGGGTTGTGGGGTTTTGGCCTGCTGCAGCTCTGCCCTCTTCTATTTTAAATACATGGCTCCATCCAGTCTACCAGGAATGAGCCCTAACTGAAGACCTTACTATCTTCCTGGCCACCGAGACTGGAAAAAAATCAGTCGAAGGAAGTGATTTATAAATACACTCCCTCATATTGATAGAACATTTTTCTTCTAAGAAGCTCAAATTCTTCTCAGACATTATCTCATAAATCTACAATGATCCATGGGTTATAAAAAAACGAAGGCTTTTCCTCTTTTTACTTGGCAGGTAAATAAAGTCACAGCTGAGAAAGAAATTGATTCAAACATATCTCAAGCCCAATGCATAGGAAATAGTGAGAGCAAGAGGAAAAGGAGGTAACAGAGGATGAGACGGTTGGATAGCATCACTGACTCGATGGACATGAGTATGAGATAGTGAAGGACAGGGAAGCCTGGTGTGCTGAAGTCCATGGGGTCACAAAGAATCAGACTCAACTTAGCAACAGAACAACAAATTCATGGGATCCTGACTCCCAACCCCCCAAACGCTTGTACCCTGTCTGCTAAAGACAGGGACCTCTCTGGCTACCTTACATCACTGTCATGTTCAATTTTTAATTTATTTGTTTTTAATTGGAGGATAATCGCTTTACAATATTGTGCTGGCTTCTGCCATGCATCAACATGAATCTGCCATAGGTATACATATGTCTCCTCCCTCTTCAACCTCCCTCCCACCTCCCAGCCCATCCCGTCCCTCTAGGTTGTCTCAGAGCACCAGATTTGAGCTCCCTGTGTCATTCAGAGTCTAAACTAACACTTATAGACTACTTCCTATGTCAGGTGCTTTATAAAGATAATCCTATCTATTCCTCCCCATAACTCTATGAGGTACTAGCATTGTCCTGTTTTACTGACAAGGAAATGGAAGCACAAAGCAGTTAGAATAACTTGCCCAAGACAGCAGAGTTAGGGACTGATAGAGCTGACGTTAAAACCCAGGCAGTTTGTCTGTAGAACCCAGACTACCCATAATTTTACCTCCCCTGAGAGTAGCAAAAGAGAGTAACGGTACTAGTGGAAGGAGTTAGAACTCGCTCTGAATCGGTGATTCTGGGCCTGTGTTTTCCAAAGATGCTGCCAGTCCTCAGAACAGCATCACGACTCGTTGCCTAATTAGGCAAATACAGACAAACCCATCACTGATGTTTTTAGCAGCTTATGAGAGCAGAAGGCGGCTGCTGTTGGCTTGCGAGACTGCAACACACGCGCTCCGGCCAGGATGCCTGCAGGGGACCAGGATCTGGTCAGAAGGCAGCAGGTCGGAGGGGCTGGGGGCCGCCCACCAGCTAGGCTAACAGCAGCTGCAGCGGGATGAGGCTGGACCAGCGCCCACTTCCAGCTCCTCACCGGGCCCTGAGGAGAGCCAGCTTAACTCACCCCGGCTGCTCCCCAGAGCCCAGCAGAGGGCAGGAAGGGCGGGCAGGAGGGGAAGCCGTGCTCTTGGGTCTATAGCTGATGGCCCTGTAGCATGTCCCGCCAGGCCTGAACAGCTGTGGAGGGCATGCTGGGGACAATGCTAGCCTGAAGACCTGAGCCTAACAGGCTCAGCCACACAGGATGCACCCCAAAAGCATACTGGGGAGCCTGGCGGAGGGTCACTGTGCTGCCTCCACTGACCAGGAATGGGTGCCCCTTAACAGCCCACCCCCAGGGAACCCTGCCCTCCCCGCTGGAAGACCCGTGGGTTATGGGGGTAAGAGGGGCCCTGGAGCACCCAAGAAATCTCCTCTGTAGTGTCCCTGATGGGATCATCCCACATCTGCTTGAATACAGCCAGTGACAGGAACCTCACTACCACCTCTGGCAGCCCAGATCTCTGTTGACACCAGTACATTGCTGACAGTAACCTAAAGTGTGTCCCCACGTTCATTGTGCCCCTTGGTCCAATCCTTAGAAGCTACACAAACACGCCTAACCCCTCCTGAGAGACTGAGAAGAATGTGAGGACAGCTATGGCACGTCCCCTGTCTGTTCCTGCCTCTCAAGCCTTAGTTTTCTCTTTAAAAGGCCCAGCGTGCCCAGCTGCCTCCTTCTGAGAACTCACTCTGCCCCAGCGAAGGCCCTTCAGAAAGAGAAGCAGTTTGGGGCTGTCAGAGGGTGGATGGGCCTCTGGAAAGAGAGGAACCCTGTATGTGGGGACACGCAGAGGTCAGGGAAAGGGGTGGGTGGAAAACAGGTCCTGCAGGGAGGATCTAAGGAGATGGAGGGTCCAGCAGCAGTAAAGATGCAGACATAGAGAAGCAGCTTATGGACGCAGTGGGAGGGGAGGAAGGAGAGGGTGAGACGAATGGAGAGCTAGCGTGAAAGCATATACACTACCGTATGTAGAATAGACAGACATGGAGACTTGCTGTTATAACCCAGAGAACTCAAACCGGGGCTCTGTAACAACCTAGAGGGGCGGGAAAGGGTGGGAGGTGGGAGGGAGTTTCAAGAGGGAAGGGACATAGGCATGACTATGGCTGATCCATGTTGGTATATGGCAGAAACCAACACAATATTGTAAAGCAATTATCCTTCAGTTAAAAATAAATAAATTTAAATAAAAGAAGGTCAAGGGCCCAAGACCCGGGACAGAGAGGCTCTGCCCAGCCCGGCAGCCACAACCCCTGATGTATTTCCATTCAACCCACGGAGCAGCAGGAAAACTGCTTAACGATTCACCATTCTCAAGCTTTTATTTATCTATTATTCATCGCCAGTGGTATAAGAGGCCCCCAATTTTTAAGTGTCCTGAGTGTCACCTAAGTGCTTAATCAGGCCCTGGGGTCCCGGGGGGGTCATAGTAAGAATGACCAAAAAAGAGTCACTTAAACGGCTCAAAGTGACCAGAGGTTCCTGGCCTCTGGTGTGTGGGCCTCGGTTTCTACTTCCTGCCCATCTGCAACCAAAGTTTTTCCCCAAAGCCACTCTTGCTCTTTTTCCAGGTATTTTTGTTTCTTCTCTCTCCCTCTGACCCTGTCTTCTCTGTGACTCTGAGCCTGGGTCTCTCTGTCTTTCTGTGTGTGTTTCCTTATCAGGATGTGTGTCTGCTTGGCAAGCCTCAGAGCTGAGCAGGCTGGGTTCCAGGGTGACAACCCGCTGTGTCTGTCCACATTCAGCTCCTTCCCGCTCTAATAATAGCTTCTCCGACATCCCTAAACTTAAAACCTGCAATACCCTTTACACACACGCACACACAGAGACACGCTGTCCTAGCTCCCTGCGGAAGCTCACTTTTGTGCTCCTCACACTGAGATCAGGGCCCTGCGCCATCTCCTCCTGCTCTGCCGGCCCCCTAAGACCAGCCCCTCCAAGCCCCCCAACCCGCTCAATGTCCCGCCCACTGTGCCCGTCAGTCATGCCGGCTTCTCCATCCCCGCCCCGCCCCGCTGATACACCTGCCTTCTCCACAGGTTACCCGCAGTATCTGGTGGTAGGGAACCACCTATCAGGGGAGCATCACTTGAAGATCCTGCGGGCGGAGCTGCAAGACGATGCCGTGTACGAGTGCCAGGCCATCCAGGCCGCCATCCGGTCCCGCCCTGCGCGCCTCACCGTCCTAGGTAAGAACCGTCCCTGCGCCCGGCCAAGGATGCTCTGGGAAGCAGCCGGGGCTCAGCTCCAGAAATCAGGGGCCAGATTGGAGCGGCCTGCCCACTGGACAATAGGGCTGCTGCCCCACTGTGTCAGTCCCTCCCCACCAAAAGGGGTAGAGTGAACATCCCTGTCCCGGACATCAGAAGGCCAGTGCCCGCCGACCTCTGACTCTGCCCAACTCCAGTGTGTTTGACGGCCGCTGAGGAAGCTAACGAGGGCTCCCGGGTGCTTGTTTATTCAATCAGGAAGCGTACTCTATGCATGTGGTCTAAGTTAGGCGCTATGTTTGGTGATGGAGACCCAGAGAAGAAGGAGATGTATCCTTGAATCCCTTCTTTACAAATTGCCCTCCCCTGGTGCTGACAAAGCCCCATCTAGCCTCCTCCCCCATCAGGCTCTCCTGGTGATTCCAGCATCCACAGGGACCACCCTGGCCCTGCTCCTTCCCACCTGGGAATCCCGGCTCTCTGGCGGAGGCCCGGGCTGGCTGCCTACATCACCCTCAGGAAAACCATTACAGGTTCTTATTGCCACATCACACCTGTGCCCCTGGTCTCTCTTCATCTCGGTTTCTCCGGGGACATCCTCCTGAAGAAGTCCCCACTACTGGACCCAGGCACACCTGCCTGAAGACCAGGGGACGGGCTCAGCTACCCCCTCAACCACCTCTTCCTCATTTAGAGTTCAGCCCCATCAACTGCCTCCTCTGGCCAGATGTTAGCGAGGAGCCAGGCCTGCTGGGAACCACGCCGGCGTACCAGCAATAATAGCTCACATTTGCATCGTGCCGCAGAGCAACGCTCTCAGCACCTCCACTTACGTTACCTCGCTGTTCCGACGCCGACCTGGGGGATGGGGAAGGTGGCCCCAGGTGAGGATTTGAGGCTCCTAGAAGCAAAGGGCGGATTGGGGGGTGGTGCACAGGCTGCCGGACGAGGGAAGTCCACCCCCACGCCCTGGCCCGCCACTACCTGCCCCCAGCAGCTGTTGAAAAGTCTGACAACAGGGTCAACAGCTGGGGTGCTGCCTCCTTGCCACCGGGCAGCTGAGACGCACGGCAGCTCAGAGATGAAATATCTAAGAGGGCGTCAGATCTACATGGCCAGCAGGCCGGGATAGGTCCTGGAGGACCATTCACCCAGCCGGGAGCTTGGCTTCTTGAGACAGGGAGGAGAAACTGGGGGCCAACCTCAGAGACCCCCTTCAACCTCTGAGTCTCCCCCAGAAGGAATGAGAGAAATAAACCTTCTCTGGAGGGTCAGTGAGCTGGGGGGGTCCCTTGACCAGGAAGTGGCGGGCCCCCTGTGTTAGAGGGAACCTCTGCCACCTGCGTCTCTGAGAGGGGGCTGAAATGGGACCCAGACTTCAATTGCTGTGGGGATTGAGGGAAAAGAGAAGGAGGATTTAGTGCCTAATATATTTTCTGATCTTTGAGGATTGCAAAAGGCCATATAGATTTGTTAAGCAGAGTTGTAGGATCTTTTTTTTTTTAAGGAGGACTGGATTCTGTTTTATTTGGGAGTGGGGGATGGGGAGTGCTGCACTGTCTTTGTTGCTTCACAAGGGCTTCCTCTAGTTGCGTCGAATGGGGGCTGCTCTTCATTGCCGTGTGCAGGATTTTTATTGTGGCGGCTTCTCTTGTTGTGGAGCACAGGCTCTAAGGGGTGTGGACTTCAGTAGTTGTGGCACAAGGGGGTTAGTTGCTTCGTGGCATGGGGAATCTTCCCAGACCATGGATGGAACCGGAGTGCCCTGCATTGGCAGGCAGATTCTTAAGCACTGGACCACCAGGGAAGTCCTGGGGTCGTAACATCTTTATCTCCAGAGGTTTTATAGCCCCATGCTCCACTTTTGGACCCCTTCTAGAGGGTGAAAGTGAAAGTCACTCAGTCATGTCCGACTCTTTGCGACCCCATGGAGTCCATGGAATTCTCCAGGCCAGAATACTGGAGTGGTTATCCTTTCCCTTCTCCAGGGGATCTTCCCAACCCAGGGATTGAACCCCCATCTCCCACATTGTGGGCGGATTCTTTACCAACTGAGCTATCAGGGAAACCCTTCTAGAGAGATGCTAAACTGAGACCGCCCCGAGCAGTGCCCACTCCTGACTTCACACAGGCCTTAAAACAGGTGGGGACACGTCTGGGCCTTAAGTTCTCGTCCTGGAATCAGAGCTTCACCTGGCCATACCAAGCCACAGTCCCCTTTCGTCTGTACTATCTCAGCTAGATTGCCAAGTCCAAGTTATCCCAGATATTTTACAGATAAGGAAGTTGAGACTCAGAGAGGCAAAAACTCTCATGGGAGGTCACACAGCTCACTTAACATTCAAAACAGACCCCAGAGTTTCCAACTGCAAACCAGTGCTCTCTGCCCAGTGTCCACATTTCTAAATGCCAGTAGGACTGCCTCTGTCTGGTTGGTGAAGAGCCAGGCTTCCGCGAGCAGGGCCTCAGGGTCTGATCTGAACAGACTTAATTTTGTCTTGGGTCACATCTAGAAGGCATTCAGACCCCCGTCTCCCTCTCCACTGGCCTGACCTGGCACTGCCTTCTGAGCCGAGCTGGTTAGTGGGGGGAGATGTTTTGTGAGTCGGGAGATCAGCTGAGGAGGGGGAGGGCGGAGTTTCCAGGAGACCCCAGCAGGATGGCCTGGGTGGAATTCCTAAGGCCAGAAAGGGAGCCTAAGCTGGCGTTTGTCCATCAGCCTTTCACACAGACCACACCACCACTCCTCCAGCTTCCTCAGACTCTGCCACAGTCTCCCCTGACTCCTCAAGGGCACCCCAGATCCCCACCTCTCACCTGTCCATGTATGTCCCCAGTCCTGAATGGTCCTGTGGGTCTCCACTCTAAAGCTAGTCCTAAGGGCCCCCTCCCTGAGCTGGCCCTGCAGGGCTCCGGCTGAGTTTCTCTGTGGTACACAGCCCCACCTACTGCCCTGGAGGGTGGCCCTGCACGCAGACACTGACCCAGCCTTTTAGAAAGGGAGCCTGGTCTACTCACAGTGGTGGACAGACAGGGCTTCTCCAGTGCCAGTGGAGGAAAGAGGGCTGTTCCTACCCTGGCCAGCCAGCTTACCGACTCAGATTCCATCTGCTTTGCCATGACATCTCAGCCTGGGAATGTCCCAGCCAGACCCCCAAGGCCAGAGGAGGGGGATTCCAAGGGGGATGCTGCCTTCCCTGTGTTCCAGAAATGAGAGAGATTCCTAATTTTGTCTGTATTTGCCTGAGATAGATTTTTAATTAAATAAAGTAAGAGCCTGATTAGAACCTACAGAAGATGTGAGAGAAGAATCAGATGGTATTTCAGCAAAATTGCAAAGCAAACACTGGCTGGGCCAGAGGGAGACCCCCAGGGGTCTTCCATCAAAACACCAAGTGAGAAGGGCAAATACAAGAGATTATATAGCCAACAGACGTGCATTGTTAAAATACGCATCTGCCGGCAGCCTGCTTGGAGAAGCCAAAGGGCTAGCTCAGAGTCTGCAGTGCTCCAGGGAGGGCCTGGGAACCCGGCCCAGTAGCCAAGCCTAGAGTCACAGACACATTAATTAGCCTTGTGTTTCCAGCTCTCAGATGCAATCAGGTAGGGAGCAACTGTGAGCTGAGGGTTTGCTCCCCCAGGGAGACAGAGGGAGGGAGACAGAGAGGAAGAAGGGGAAGGAGCAGCTCCTGTAAAGCTGAGCAAGGTAAGGACTGGGCACCCTCCCGCCCCCAGACCATCCCTGGAATCATGGTGTCGGCGACAGAGCCACAGGCCCGGAGACAACAGTCATGGTCCTGCCATTAACCAGCTGTGGGCTGGTCACTCAAACACTCTGAGTCTCAGTTTCCTCATCTGTGAAATGATGCACACTCCTGTTTCTCCCACCTGCAGGAACCTCTGTATTGAAAAATACCGAAACAGTCCCGGGGCCAGAGGGGTAAGGGTCAAATAGCATTTGATCCTTCTAACTTTGTGAAAGCTGGATGGCAGGAATCTGGGGAGGGGACCCAGAGCAGGAGGACATGGGCACCAAGGATGTGATCAACAAACATTTGCTGAGCACGTATTAGGTGCCAGACACTGGAGACTCATTAGTAAATGAGAGAGAAAAGCTCCCCTGCCTAGCAGAGAGAGAGACAGTCACTACACAGTAAACATTTAGCCAGCACATTGTGCAGGATATCAGGTGATAACACATGCTATAAAAATGAGGGAGCAGAACAAGGTAAGCAGGATTGAAAGTCAGGGGGTGGAGGAGGAGGAGGATTATGGATGTCAAGTTAATTATTAAAAAAGGGATTTTCCCAGGCTTCCTACCCCATTTCCCTCTTCTTCCCGGTTTGTTTTAATATTAACTCTACTGCCTTTTGGCTCCCAGTAGAAACAACGCTTCCTACATCAACATGAATTATTTAATGACGGAGAGTAAGTCAATTCAAATGAAGAGGGCATCTTTAAGATGATGTAAACCCCAAATACTTTGGGGCAGACAAATAAGGTCCAAATGTGTCTTCCCTTCATCTCTGTCTGCAGCTCTTCCAGCTGCGGAGCTCTCAGGTCCGTACGTCCACAGGGCCGGCGGCATCCCCCAGTCCCCAGTGCCCTGATCTCTGGGCAGGTGGCTCCAGAGAGAGACGGCGCACAACTCAGGTCCCACAGCAAAGGAAAGTAGAACTGAAATGGCCCAAGAGCACTGGCTTCTAAAATCATTCTCTCAGAAACCGGTGGTGAGAATGCCACCTGTCACCCTGTCGGGGGTCGGGGGCGGGGGGAGGCAATCTGAGCAGATCTTCAGGGGTGAGGAAGCACCTCCACAGAACAAAGCCCAAGCTCCCTCCGTGACATGCAGGGCCCCCTAAAGTCTGCCCTCAGCTTGCCCTCCAGCCCCTGCTCCCGGATAACAACCAGCTCGCAGCACCCTCCACTCCCCACACCCCTGTGCCTTCACTCACGTGTGCTTCTGCCTGGAATGCCCT